ATACTCCTAGTAAGTGTAAATCATAATTCATTTTATTTATTTACCGGCTGATGCACACGAATTCGTCTATGAGAAATTCATAGTAAACCTATATTACTCACTGATTACGTAGCTTTTTAACGGCGAAATAATTATTGAAATCGGTCCAGCAGTTTTGGAGTAATTTCAATACAAAAATACAAATCTTTTCTCTTTATATCAGTATATGTAGATTTAAAACCATTGTCAATTTTAATGTTATCACGCAATGAATAGTGTAATTTACATTAACACCTGTATATTTATGTTATTTGCGATCTGTCGCAATATGTTATGGTGGAAAGCGAGTTAAAATGAAGCGAAACCATATTATTCTGTTGCGGTTTCTAGCGTAGCTATATATCATGGTGGTGAGCTAATCAGACTTACCAAATCGTTAACGTTCATCCATTATACACACAAGAATTATGATGCAGCGGGAATAGAACTGTACATTTAAGTCGCATTGTAATGTTAGTTAATGTTCTATAGTATTGTATTTGATTTTAATGATGGGTTGGTGAAGATTACGTTTATTTTATCATTACCTAGTATTAGACAACTTATTTAATTGATACTGTCGCTTTTAACTCAGAGCAATGCTTCTCGTCAAGACTCAAGTTACGCGCCAATCTATCCATACTTCTAGTGACCTTTGACAGCTGTCACCTAGGGACGTGACGTTTATGCCGATAATCTAGAGTTGCGCCAATTCTATAGCACGGTACTAATTTTATTCCTAACACTAGTGAGTTAATAACATTAGGTTGACCTAAGTTTCAACGGAAACCAACTCAAGATACTTTGGACACATATTTCACGAAGATCAAGCCAAAGTACTAATGTTGACGCCAAAACACTTAATGAAGTTGGGAAACCGTCCATAAATAAACAAAAAATTAACTTAAAATAAAAACTATTGTTTGTAATGTAATAGAATTCAATAAAAATCATGAACCAATCAAAGATTTTGTAATTGTTAAGGCTAAGGGCGATCACAATAAAAGTAGCTCATAAACATAACAGCCGTAAACCAAGGTAACATTGATTTTAATTTAAGAAACAAAATTGATATTTGACAAGTTTATAATAAATGTTGATAAAGGATCCCAGGAGCTAACGTCACACGCCATTAGTCGACTGGCGACAGATGAAAACCTCAAGGGTCACGAGTTCAGACGCGGCATATGCGGGAAATTGTACCCTCGCAGACAAAACTTTGACCACATCTCACACCGCACATTTATCTCTTAACAGTGTTACCCCGCCAATTGGATCAGGCGGCTTAATCGAACCAACCCATTATGATATTATAGGGATTATGTTGTGACAGGAGACTGAAATATTTTAAAGCTATTGTTTTTGTCATCGATTTAATAGTACAGATTTACTGAACTAGGTTGAAACAAAAACGTACCTCATTCTTGTTAAATGCTCCATTAGGGTATTAAAAAATGTTCATCACTAGGTACTGAGGGAAAACATCACTACTGTTTGTTGTGACGCTTATTATTTTATTGCAATAAACTGAATCTTTGGGGGATATTCAATGTTTCTCCAACAACGTAGACTTATTGAGGGATCCGACCATTCCAGCTGACAAAATAAAACTGCCTTTCTTCTTTACTTATGCGACAGCAATGTCAAAAGTCAAATCATGTTTGTATTTAAGAAATTATACTCAAAATGAACTTTAATGTTTTAATTAACTTTTCAACAAACACTGCAGTGGTAGTGCCCGCTTTAACATCTTAGAACGAATGGGCCGGCTCGCCCGGTGTAATACCACGACCACACAGAAGACAGGCGTGAAATGGAAGCAATTCCGTGTTTCGTCTGATGTGAGTGTGGTGCCGGAGGCCTAATTTAAGTCCCTTTCCCTTTACCACCCTTTTCTTATAAAGAGAGGTTGGGAAGAGGAAGTGGATTTGACGGTGGAGGAGATGCATAGGAAGGGGAAATATCCTCTTTATGTGCGTCTCCTCCTCCGTCGGCCGTTTGCCACCTTATGTTATAAAAAAAAAACTGCTTAAACATATACATATTACTGATATATTCAAGGCTTGTCATACCACTAGCGGACACAGGCTTAGTTATCTTAAAAATGACGTTACTGTCAGATAGGAGACCAAAATCAGATATGTTAGATTGATTAAGATAGAAAAGATAGATTGTTATAATTTACAATTTGGTGGGACAAGCTCTTAATGTTATAAAATAATAAAGGATAATTTGTTCTAAAAATAATTGTCTTCGAATTTAATTAATCCCAAAACAGGAATGTGTACGGATTCAATATATTGCGACCCTGTCCTTAAGATTGTCTTCGCTTTTAATTTGTGTTGTTTTAAAACTTGATGGAGGAAAATAATTCGGGGAACCAACGAAAATTTAATAAGGCACAAAATTCTTGCGTATATCAAATATGTTACGATAAAATTACAGTTTTACGAAAAAAAAGACAATCTACCATAGTACGTGATAGTCAAATGTTTTTCTAGGGTGAAATCATCGAATGATGTATTAGTACTTTAATTGATTGCAGAATTGTTTGCGAAAGTAACGAAATGATAGAGCTTTTTAATTTTTGCACATGAATTCAGGTAGCGTATAAGCGCATGTGTACATAGTGACATGAAAACCAACATTGGCTTCATGTGTAAGCGGTAACTGAGTAATCATTTGGAAAGGAAAACTCAGTCAGAATATCAAAGAGTTAATAAATGTTTTAAACAAATCCTAATTAAATTACTTGAACATTTTTTTGTACATACCGTTTGGTTTAAGTTATTTGCATTAATTACAAATGAAGAAGCAAACAATAAGTAATATAATTATTTGTAACACTAGTTTTAGCCCACGACTCCGTCCGCGTGGATTAAAAAAACTATGTAGCCGATGTGTTCTTCCAGACTATACTCTACATCCATGCCAAATTTTTTTGAGATCCGTTTAGGCTACAAACTCTAACAAACATCCATCCATCCATCTAAACTTTCTCATTTATAATATTAATTAAAAGCAAGATTTAATTATCTTTAGATGACATTTGTTTATCATATGATTTACTGACGTCACCAATAGATTTGTGTCAGCCAAATATAACGATCATTTTTCACATTAAACATTTTTTTCGCAATGCGTATCATTTCTTATTGGTTCCCATAGCAACAAAATCCCCCGTTTAAGAGAAGCTTCAACAACAGAGGGATGTTTTCTTAACTCATTACTTGACGGGAAGATAACTGGATGACAACACGTCAAACGCAAATATGTATGTTACTCTTAAGCTTTGTACAACACCGCATTCAAGCCATTTCCTAAGTCCCCTTACAGAACGTTAAAAAAGAAATGAAGCGGAGAAAATAATAATCCATGTCGGCATTTGCTTTTGAAACAAATTGACGAAGTTTTTTTGAATGGACGAATATTTGATTAATCTCATAAAAGACTGGCAGGGAAAGTTACATTGAAAAAGCTATAGAAAAGCGCCCTCAGCTGTGTTTTCTTTTTTGAAAAAAAAAATCCTGCTCACGTTGTAGTACTTGATGCATTCAAACAACTCCAGCCGAGTGCTGGACCACCGCTAGCGTTTTTACTACTTAAAAATACATTGCACTCCGCACATAGCAAAGTTACTTTCAGCGCTATTGGTTACAAACACGTTATCGGAATGTATGGTAACATTATTTTAATATGTAGGAAATTGATCAATTACTTTTTAGTAATGTCATAAATATTAACATCTTTGAATTTATTTGCCGATATGTGCAGGTTGCATCACGATGTTTTCCTTCATCATAAAAACGTCGGGTACATTAGGTACATATGAAAATTCTAAAAATCGTAAAATCAAATTGACACATGGCGGGATTGGAACCCAATACCTGTTGATTACAAGTCAAATGCCACCACTATGCCACTGGCGCTTCTTAAATAAACTGATATAATATTTTTAAATTATGCAAGGATTGAAATTTTGTGTGAGTCTCACTTGTAACAGAATTATAACAAAGTTTGAAGTCCTTTCTACGTCAGTAATTTGGAAGTCTAACCCGTCTAGACCTGTAAGACGACGGGTAACGTTCTTATAAATTGTTACAACCACGTCAACGTACAATATTAAAGTTTTGAGAACAATGTGCCAGGTAGACAATATTAGGTTAGTTATATTTAGTCGTTTATGATTTAGCAATAATAAGACTTTTTATATGTATAAAATTGTTGTATTTTTAACATAAAAATGTAGGTACACTTAGTAAGAATTTCGTAGTCAATCTGTAAGAAATTTTAAATAGTTCTTTAAGCCTCTATCTAGACAGAGAGTTTCCGCGCAGTTTTCTTCTATGCATTAAAAACCATTGCGGTATAAAAGCTTACAAAAACTATCTGCACTGAATTGCTTTCACGGCGTGTTAGCATTCACGAAGCGACCATATTTCCTACTTTATCCGTTTCATTAGACAGTTATATTATAACAACGTGTGTAGGCCCCGCGCGTCTCCCCTCACGAGCCGACCAAAAGAGTTTTTATTTTTTGCCTCTTCTGAGCCCGCTTTTGTCCTTTTTTCGTTTGGCTTGTTTTATATGGGGCGTTTAATTCGATAAAATTCGCGTGGACTCGAATCGGTTTAGGAGAGTTGGGAAATAAAGCGGCATGAAAATGTTTCTGGCAATGTCAATGAAACTATTTCCTTTTCGGGAGCCGCTTAAAGTAAATGAATTGTACTTATTTATTACACTTTACTTATACCTTTCCACTTAAGTTTTCATTAATTTGTTTATTAATAGAATTTAAAATAGTTACTTAAAAGTCATATGTATACGTACAAGTATGTAAAATCCTTATAATCACCTTGATTCAATGCAAAAAAACTATAAAAATGTATTTGCTCTTCTAACTTAACTTATATGTCAATATATTTACTACAATTCTTAATTAAACATTTGGTTACTTATAGTTTGTTTTGTTTTGTCATTAGGTTTGCTTCGGTTGCAACAACTGTACCAGACCATGCAGCCGGGACGCACAACGTTCCGAATATCGCTCGTGAAACGAATTAATAACGCATCAGATGCAATGGAATTTCTGTTGAGTTTGGAACAGTATGACCGATGGAGCAATAAACGCATAGTTCTCGATTGTAACGCGAAAAATGCGAAAAACATACTAGTGGAGCATGTACGAAAAGTACAATTGGGCCGTAGAACCTACCACTACATGCTCAGTGGGCTGGTAAGCTTTTTCTGTTTCACTGAGCCGACGCCGAATAACGTCGAACGTGTAACAACCAATTGCAGGCGATCTCAATTGTCAATCGTTTTGAAGTCACAGTACGGAAAAAAGGTCAATTCACTCTTGGCCGTTTTAGAAACGTACACATCGCTTTTATGGAAGAGTTATTCCATTTTAAAGTTAAACGAACAAATTCACAATAAACCTATTGAACTAAATCCTTCTCGAATTCGTGTGGTTTTGTTAAAAAATAAAACAACGTTATTACTAAAATTTAACATTATTGTAAGAATCAGAGCAAATACTTTTAACTTTGAAATTGCGTATAAAACGATTGGAAAGCGCAGAGAAAACGTGTCTGAACAAAATCTAATTTTTCAATCAATTTCAACGTATTGCAGATTTTAAAGTGTGTGGTTTTAATTAACAGGTTATGGACGATCATTGGGAGAATGAAGTAACGGAATACGGTGCAGTTAACATCACGGGTTTCAGAATTGTGGATCATTCACGTAAGATCGTGCGAGATTTTATGGACGGTTTGCGAAGAATGGACCCCCGTTTCAAGGGGACTATATCGGTAAGTGGTCTGATATATTTCTAACTCTATATGCGTTGCCTGAGAGTGGCAGATTAATTAGCGCGTATGATCGAGTTTACAGCACTGCAGTCATGTCAGTTTAAAACTTGTGAATATTTAAAAATCATATTTCTTTTTAAATGGCATTTCCTTCTCTATAACTTCGCAATGTTTATTTTGTATTGTTAGCATTTGTATTGAATAGTCATCCTTTGAAGCTTTAGCATTCATTTTGAACGTAGAACAAGAAGCTATTAGCGATGGAGGAGTTTGAGTACTAAGAATATGTACTGAAGAACACTCTATGCTGTAAACACCCATTTAAGCTTCAATAATTAACTAGCTGTTAGGTAAACAAAATATTGTTACAATGCGAATTAACTTTGCAAGAAATAATTAACAAATTGTACTTAATTAAGAGTGTTTAATTTTTTGTTGTTAATGTTTTGACCGAGTTGTTTTATTTTTGTAGTATTTGTTTAAAAAGTATTTCTAAAAAAATAAATTAAGCGATATAAAATGTTACAGCAAAACTCTGACCTAAATAAATGTTCCGATAACAATAGCGTGATTCTTTCTTTTAATTTCTTGCAGCAAATCGTGACAATTTCTCCGTTAAGGGTTTTTATATTTTTTTTTTTGCTTTCTACGTGCAATTATGATTTAACATTATGTTGTGAGAAAAATCATACTTTATTTCTGGGATGATATATCAAAAAAGTCTATTTTAAATTTTTTTATCGATAGTTACTATATTTCAAAGATCATGTAACTTTTTTTAGGGATTTTTAGGGAAGTAAATCAACCAAATTACTTGATATTAACCATACATAGAAATAGATACGGAAAACATTTTCATACAGGAAGAAATGCTTTAAAGTGTAGTTTTTACGTTTCATATGTAACATAGAATATTAAAAAAACAGAAAGGTTGGTGTTTTTCAATATAAAGATGTATTCTTGCAAGCTTTTAACGTTATGCTAAAAATACGGTTGTAATATTTTAAAGAGGTCATATAGGTGTGCGAAGCGAAATGAAATATATATTCTTGGACGAATAATAATTATTCTATTCTGTTCTTAATTAAGCAATACCCATTTAATTAAAAATGTATCATTTTATATAAAAACATTAGTAGATTTTTGTTCATTTACTAATATTTCCTTTAACCATCCCAACTTAGTTCTACGCTTGTGCTAGGATACGGTTCACGACAATAGTCGAATGGCGGGATTTGAACCCTCGACCGCAAGATCGGTAGTCTGTACCCCAAACCATTAGGCTACTGGTGCTCAATTTTCCATTTTCCTAATGTCTACATAAGGCTATTTAAAACAATTTACATTTCATAATTGACAATTGATTTAAAACGTTCATAATGTTTACATTAATAGAACCTTCGCCTCGGGCAGGTGTATTCATTTTTATCGCTTCGATTGATCTCTCTGTGGGGTGTAAATTTCTGTAATGGAGTCTAAATTTCAATACCCAAGAATCCAAGCGTATTTTATTGCAAGCTTGAATTTAATAGAATCAAAGTGAAACTTCATGCGTAGATCTTCAACTAACTTTAAAATGAAAATTAATAAAATTTCTAGAAGTTTCAATTCATAAAAGATTTACATAATTATGAAACTTTAGCGAGAAATCCAGAGCAATTTAATTACCCGTGATAACATTTTTAATACAAACTTTAGCATATAACAAATCATATTGGAAAAAATATATTGAAAGAGTCAATATTCGTGCATTAATAAGTTATTGACACTGTATAAGACGACATTAAAGCTTTAAAAATATTATTAGTATAGCGAAACAATAACTTAACATTGCAGAGTATATTTACAAATCTAATTACTCTAAAGTATCAACAAAATTTTACGTTAAACCCAAAACGTTATATAAAGTCAGCACGAAGGTGGTAAATATAGCTTCGTTTAAAGAAAATTTCGACGTAGAGTAATAACGCGTTTATGTAGATTTCACTAACTTGCGTACACCCTAATGAAACCGTAAGTGGGTACCCGGCATAAATTATTACTTCATATTATGATCTCGCCGTTTCGAGTTACACTTCGGCCTTTTTAGATTTAACAACGTTCTCGCTTGAGAATTGTTTCAGAGAAATTGGTAATGTGTTCATGGTAATATATCATAATGTATTCGTTGAGTTATCCATTCGAATGTTATGTTTATGATGGCTAATAAAAACTTTTTAAATAATTTATCATTCTCCAAAATTGTTCGATCAAGATATTTTTACAGATTTTCGTCTTAATAACTTATTTATCATCACTGATCACTAGCTACGTCCCCAAAAAAGGGCTCGTAGCCTACACTAAGTTAAGGTGACTAGGCCATTGTCAACCACGCTGGTCCATTGCGAGTTGGTTGACTTCACACATATCCTTGAATTTCTTCACCGATATGTACAGGTTGTATCACGATGTTTTCCTTCACCGTAAGAACGTTGGGTAAATTATGTACAAATGAAAATTTCGAAAATCACATTGGTACATGGCGGTATTCGAACACAAGACCTGTAGATTACAAGTTAAATGCTTAAACACTGAGCCACAGACACTCTTAATTTACTTGTACTGGTATAATTAAAATGACAAATTTATTTTTATAAAGACTCCTATTATTTTGACGAAAAAACGACCTAACATAACTTAAATATTTTGTAACAACAATTACTAAATTATTCAAATGTTAACCCAATAACCAAATAACCGAAATCAATTTGATAATCTGTTGTGTTCACTGCACTGACAACCCTCGGTAGATGGAGAATGATTGATTGACTTGCGTCGATGTCATTCACCACTGTTACGATTCTGTTCCAAATCACTACCTCACTTACAATTTGTACCAGACATTCAATCGACTTCGATGGAAATTATTCTGTTGGGCATTTGCGTAATTGCAAATTACATCTCAGTGGCGCCCCCTGACAATGTCAAAATAATGTGACAAGATCTTTGTCGCAAAAGATCTACAAATTTTGTTATGTGTAATCCTGACGTGAAGTGGAAGCAATTCCGCGTTTCGTCTGATAAGTTTGGTACAGGAGACCTAATTTTAGTCCCTTTCCCTTCGGACACATTTCTTAAGATTAAAGGATGGGAATTAAAAGAGGATTTGACGGTACAGGAGGGGCATACGAAGGGGATTTATTCCCTTTATGTGCGACTACTCCTCCTTCAATTAAGGATAGGCAACGCATCTGCAATTGCGAATATCTCTGGGCAGCGGTCGCGGTTCATTTCGGTGGATTCAGGTGGCCGCTTACTCGTTTTCCATGATGTAATAATATAAAAAAATGTTCGTGATATTCTTTTCTAATGGCTGTACATGTATATCAGAGGTGATAACCAAAAGTAAACTTGCCGTTAAACTATTAAGTATGGAAACACTTTCGCAACAGGCGCAAACGGCACTAATGTACGATGGTGTACAAGTGTTGATGGACGCACTTGGTAGACTCATGAGGAAGAAACCCGATGCGTTTAGAACTGCGTTACGACGTGCTGCAGCACAAGCGAATTTAACCAAAGTTATTGACTGCAATCCTAGTAAGAGTTGGGTTATACCTTTTGAACATGGTGATAAAATAACAAGATTGATAAAAAAGGTAAGTGTTAAAATCATTCATATTAATATTATAAATGCGAAAGTTAAATTTGTAGCCCAAACTGCTGAACAGATCCCGATGAAATTTGGCATGGATGTAGGGGATAGTCCTGAAAAATATATAGGCTGCTTACTTTTGTTATTTTTTTTATTCCACGAGGACAGAGTCGCTGGCAAAAGCTAGTTTATAAATTATCTTTTCAATGGTTTCAAAGATAATGCAAATATATTAAAATATTCTTAGCACAGATATTTCAGACAGACCATAGACCTATTTTTAATTTATTAAAAATGTAATTAAGTTCTATACAATAAATAACCTGCCTCTATTTTTGACAAGGTTACAAAGGATCAAGATTTTTTTACACTAAAATGTACTTTTTGTGATTTTGTTAGAAAATTTTTACGAATAAGAAATACTGATTCAAATATCTGTTTGGTTTTAAACAAAGCGGTTTTCGAGCCCGTATTTAAAGAAAGTTTAGCTTTGTGCCGTCAACGTTCTCGGCGCTTTACCACGTTTGATATGTGGGCGTAGAATCAAACACAGACTATTTTGTTTCTTTAAAAATGTATAATAGTTATTTGTTTTTACGAGCAGAACATAATTTAGAGTACATTGAGAATTAATGAAATAGAAAGTTTATTATAAGTATAAAGATGTTTTAATTTTTTTTTATTTTAGACGGATATTGAGGGTCTTACGGGAAACATTTCATTTGACGAAGAAGGCCACAGATATAATTTTACTTTGCAAGTTGTGGAAATGACTGTCGAAAGCGCTATGATCCAGGTATAGTAAAAACTTTTTTCATAAAAAAAAAAATAAGATTTAGATATTACAGCACATAGCTAGAAATTTTTATGAAATTACATGTTTGTTTTTATTTTCATTTACATTTAAAACTCTTAATATATTTGTGCATAGAAATAAAAGCGGTATATAATTGTATACTTTTTATGATCTATTTCTTTTAAAGAAAATAAGTAGAGCCAATATCTCGGATGTTAAACAAGGAAAATAAAGTTTAATTCATTTTGTGATATTCAAAATATAAATTTTACGACTGTACACAAAACAGCAATATTAATAAATTTTACTGCTGCGGATGCACTGTAATTTTTCTTATACTGGAGTTTCTCTAAAGTATATTTCTGTATAACTAATATGAATCATTTTTCAAACTTAGCTGTTTTATAAAGTTCGCTGTGATTTAACAATACTTTACACACACGTTACGTACTTTAGGAAATATGTTTCAAATGACCTTTTTAAAGCCATGTAACTACGAAAAAATGGTAAAGTTGTATCTAGGGCATGTCCCACTGGCTGATAGAGACTCAGATAGCTTAAAAATGACGTCACTGTCTGATATGGGAACAAAATCCGATATTGCCATCACATATTTTACACGTTGGATTGTAATCAGAAATTTACAAATCGGTGGAACAGGCCCTTAATGTTTTTAAAGTGTCTTACAAATGATACACGTTTTTTAAGACATTAGTTGTATCATAAAATATTTTTACTCTTATTTAACAAAAGAGTTAAAAAAGAGCATGGTTTTTAAAATACTCTATAGAATTGCTAAAGTTTAATCCTACGCGAGCGGAACTTGGTGCGACTTAAGAATGTAATTTTTTCAAATAAGACCTTATTACAAAAAGTAGGAATTCTACTTAGTTTTTTTTGATATTGACTGAACTATAGTATTATTTTGTTAATTTATTCTCTTCATAAAAACTAAGATTAAACATTTATAAGCTTTAATTCTTTGACACCTTTATGGGTTTTGTTTCTTCGGCTTCGGATATCAGTTTACAAAATAAATAATGACATCATCATCACACTATAAGTCGCCACCGAGGGACTAAGTAAGGGTGATCAGGCCATATTCAACCACGCTGGCCCACTGCGGTTTGGCTGACTTTACAATATCTTATAATTTCACGATGTTTCCCTTCACTATAAGAACGTCGGGTAAAATATGTACATATTTTCTAAAAATCTAAAATCACATTAGTATATCCCGATATTCGAACTCGAGACCAGTAGATTACAAGTCAAGTGCTTAAGCCACCGACTATATAGGCGACTGGTATACATGATTTCTTTATTTTAAGACAATCTTTTTTCAATCGTTTAGGTAGCCACATGGACGGACAAGCAAGGTCTTACGCTAGTATCCCCAAAGTATATTCAACTTCATTCACCGTCTTCTCTAGACCCGAATAAAACGTACATCGTAACAACAATCTTACAAGAACCATACATGATGCAGAAGCATGATACAATTGGTTACAGTCGCAAAGAAGATCAGTTGCACGGATTTTGTAAAGATTTGTTTGACTTAATCGCAAAGAGACTGAAAATAAAATGTAAGAAATACCCTTTAAGTAATTTTCGTTTATCTTGATAACTGGATATTTTTTTGGTAACTTTATAACACATAGCTTTGTAAGGAATATGTCGTTAGAGTGTAATTAACAAAAAACTTAGTTTCATTGAATTTACTTTCAAAGTAATCCTTTACTGAGTATATTTTGAATATTTCTAAAGATTAAAAAATAAAATGACTAAGTTTTCCATTACTTTTAGATGAACTTCGTCTCGTGAAGGAGAACAAAAGTGGTAGCAATACCAATTCTGATGCTTGGTCCGGGTTGATGTCGGAAGTTGTTAAAAAGGTAAGAAATATTTACGTCAATTTCAATATCAAACACTAATACTTACTTTATTAATTATAACGGAGAAAAGGGTAACAGGGAGCACGATTCATACTTTATTATCAGATATGAAAAAACTGTAAAATTAGCGATCTTATATGTGACCGAGGCTGCAATTTATTACGTAAGTCACAGGACACCTAAGATTCATTCACATTTCAAGTGTAAACCGTTATCATTAAAGTCAAATCGATTAAGCAATTAAGTTGCGTTGGCTGTTTATTAATTCAAAAATAATTTAAAAAAATAACTTAATTAATCACAAAGTTTAATAATAATAAATACGATATAGACTTTATTCCTATTTTTACCAAACTCTTTATTGAATCCAACGTAAAATAAGCAACAAAAATACATGCTTACAACCTTACTCGCTTAATACCAAGACCCTTTTTGCGAAGGTCTTCGACAATATCGATTACCTATAAAATGAAGCGTGGCCTATAAATACCAAATGACCGTCACAGTTGTTCGATAATCTTACGCTGACGGGAGTAAATCATAAAAATTGATTGAACCTGATTATTACTGTCAGGTTGTAGTAAATTTTCTTACATCGACAAAAATAGTGATAGTGAGACTCAAATCTTATTAGAATTCTTTACCACGATACGACTGAATGTTACCTTTATTCAAACAAAGACAACTACTACTACTAGACTATTACTTACTTACTGCGTTGGCGCAGCGACTCAAAGTGGGCCTTGGCCTCCGACACGAGAGAGCTAGACTATTAACATAAACTTAATGCCGACCGATCGATTATTGCCGCATCCGCTTTGGATGTTCAAAATAGTCAGGCAAAATTTTCCCTTTTTTCTTGAAATTCATATAGTTATATGTGATTAATATTCTATATAATGATTCCGTTAATTTATCAAATAATAAAATTATTATTTAGATCAAAGGTAAAAAGTCATCTATTGTATTTCAGAAAATAAACAGTTAGATAACTTATTTATTTGTAAATTAAATATCTATATCATAAAATGTTGTAAATTAGTACTTATTTCAAGCAAATGTTTATTGCTTTCATTTCCTTTAGCTCGTTGTAACATTTTCCATTATACAAATTGGACAGTTAGAATAAATGCCTCCGCAAACCAATATCGCGCCTCTATCCAAATCCGCGATTTTCTTCTTTACGTCAAATGATACTGTAATTTTTTCCACCATTTAAATTCCTTAACAATACATTAACACTATAAACATACAGAATTATTTGACTTAATATTTAGACGATTTAGCCAATTTTAAATTCCCTACATTTTAATTAAAACAATCTTATGGTCGATTATTGAATTTAGCTATTGCTCTCTTCGCGTGATGTATCGACCGATTCCAATAATAAATCTGTACTTCTAATTTACGTATAATACAACACAAACACATGTCATTTAAAAATAACTCACTCAAAATATCCTCAAACAAATACACATTCACCCACACACACGCATACACACAGAACTTACACACTTATGCATACAAATACATAGTAATAACGCCCGTGCATATGTAGTACACATAAAATGAAAATAAAGAAATATTTAAATTAACACTTGTTCTACACAGTGTGAACAGGTCCTTATTCTCGTACATTCAAAGCGAACACCTATTATTACTCACTGAACCATTGAACACTTCTACCCACATGATTTGTTATTTTTTTTTACAAAATCGTTTAATTTTATTGTTTTATTTGGTTGAAGTGTTGTTTAAATTGCTAAGTGTAACTGTGTTATGGAAGAACGGAGTATCCTGTCACAGGTACTTTATGCTTAAAAGGATGCTCCAACAACAGTTTAAAACTTTTGTAAATGCATTTTTCAAATAAATGAATTTATTATTTATTTATTTATTATTCCACCCTGGAAATGCTTTTCTAGCAATATTCGTACTTAAAAGAATTCGCTTATGTGAATTTACAGTGAGCGGTCGTATTTTCTCTTTAGAGATATCGGAAATACGAAAGTTACTAAGCAAATTGGATCTTTGAAATGTTCTAAAGGAGAGATTAATGTAATATAATCCGGTACTTTACTTAATTGGAACTACTTGTAACTAAAAAAAGGTTAAAACGTTGCTATTAAAAGTTTAAGGACTATCGGAAAACTTATTCGTTTGTGGAAATCATAATCATTAGTTTTGAGCCTTTATATTTTAAACTCGCCTCCTCCCGCGACTCTGTCCGTGTGGAATAAAAAAAACAAATGCGAGTAGCCTACGTGTTCCTCCAGACTATACTCTACATCTATACCAAATCCGTTCAGCCATTTAGGCTACAAACTCTAACAATCATCCATCCATCCATCTAAACTTTCGCATTTATAATATTAGTATGATTATGTCATTCAAAGTACAAATGTCTCGTTTTGGTTACTTAAACATTTCCTTAGGGTAAATTTCTGTCACTAAAAATACACTAAAAGGTGCATCTACATCCTAGTTCGTAAGAACTATCCCATTGTAAACATGTCCGTAAGGCACTACAACATGTCATTATATTTTTAATAAAAAAAAACATACGCATCAGAGCTCTAAAATGTCATTGCGCCAATATCAATAAGCTTTACAATAATAACTTTTTTATGCATCTGTACTGTAATTTGGTAATCGTAGACTTTGATTACTGTAGCAGTGAGCAGGCGAGGAAGTCGCGAGCGCCAACTCACATTAACGAGCATGTCAGTGCGCTCGAATTACCAATTAGTATCGGATTTAAACGCGACAATTATGCGGAAAGACATACAACAAAGAGCATGTGATATAAAAGTGTCGATAGAGTTACATAGTTTGTTTTACATTGACAATGATGTGCCTTACCGAAATATTAAAAAATAGCAAACTCCAATTAAGCATCCGAATTATGATAAATATATTTGCTTAAAGCATTTCACTTATTGGCTAAAAATAGTTTATTTAACAGTTAATTAGCAAATAAAAATATTTGTAAACAATTTTGAGGAAGACAATATTTGACAAGACAAAATTGAGTATATTGTATATTAAGTATATATTTTTTTGTTAAATAAATCATCTCACTCGAAGACATATTAAATGTTCATTTATTTTATAGGAAGCGGATTTAGCAGTGGCTCCGTTAGCGGTTACAATAGAAAGAGAAAAGTTGGTTGATTTTAGTGAACCTTTTCTTTCAATCGACAATCCTGTCGTTCATACAAGAGCCTCAAAGCAACTTGCTGATACGTTCAGTTTTCTAAAACCACTATCAAAGGAGATATGGGTAAGTGAATCGATTTAGGAATAAATCTATATTGTGTTTTATAAAATTATACGAAAGTATTCTTGCGTGTATCGTCTAATGAATGTATTTGCTGGAGACCAAATTCTACGTTTCTCTTCCCCGCCTTTTTCTTATAAAGAAACAAGGGAAGGAGAAATACGATTGACGGTGATAGGGACGCACATTATTGTGAAATAGGGTCCTTTTAGAAGCAAGCCTATCATTTCCTCAAAGGCAGGCAACGTATCTGTAGTTCCCCTGGTGTTGCGGATGGGCGTCGTTGACCACCTCGGTGTTCTCGCCGCTCGTTTGCCCTTGTATCAAAAAAATCACCTACTATAAATCCCTCCTCTATGCAGTTTTAGAAGGCATGCATGCAGTTTTGGAATGTCCACTTCTGCAACGTATATATCCAGCTGTCACTTCATTTAAGCATTTAGGTGGCCGCTTGCTGATTTTCGAGATTCTAGAAAAAAATATACGAAGTTCACATATTTGATGTATAGGGGTATAAGATTTATTTAACGTGAACCGGTTAATATTCAACAAAGGTTAGATAACATAGAACACGGCAGTAGTGAACAAAAGTTTTCACCCCGTTCTACACGACAACTAACTTTCTTCGTCGCCCGAAGCATAACCAAACGTTTTACGATAAAAGCTTGTTCACGCAAGATTGTTTGTGACAGTTCTCCGAGGGGAGGAAACAAGATGATAATTGATTTATTGCATTTATGAAGCTACTGAACTTCATACATATATTTTTCATGTTATATATTTTAATAAATACTTCTATACTATATCTATAGTATCCGTACTATTATAATAAAACGCATACACACTTCGTTGTTGTCTAAGATGTCAGCAATTGTAGCATATTATTAAATAATATTTTTTTTTAATGAAAAGCCCTACACTTACGTCACGCTTTAGGCCACATATTTTCACGCTATTTAACTTAGGGGGTAAATTGGAAAAAAATTATGTGTGAAAGGGGCTATAAACTAGAAGCTGCCAACATTGAGGAAGCAAGGTTATTATGGTGACGGTAATTTTGACATTTGCAATTGAGAATTTGACAAATGTAAACAATAAAGGTTTTTTAGTTTTATGCTGATGAAACCGCGCAGGAATAGCTAGTATTGAATAAACAGTGTAACAATAGAAAGAGTGAGATATCCTTACTAAGCGTGTAGGTATTATTAATTTTAGTAGAATTAAATTATAATGATTATGATATTATAAAAGCTATTCTGGTGAAGTTATATTATAAATGCCTAATGAGGAATTTAAGTGCTCTTAAGAAATTAATATGATGATAATTAAGTTTGTATAATTGAAAAGTTTAAGGTCGGTTAAGATAAGTAAAGTGTAATGTTTCGTTTTGTTTTAGCTGTGCATACTCTTCAGCTTTTTCGCAGTAAGCATCGTATTATTCTTGGTATCGAGATTTTCACCGCATGAATGGCGGTCCGTATCTATTTCGGATACGCGTATTGAACAACCACTATCAAGCACTAATGAGGTGAGTTTTTTTTATTTAATCAGTGATTAAAAAAAATATAGTAACAGTCGTTGCAGACCTTCCGCAAGATGGACTTGGTCAAGGTTGCGGAAGTGGATGGATGCGGGCGGCACAGTACCGGTGGTAATCGATGGGGGAGGCCTAAGTTCATCAGTGGACGACCTAAGGCTGACAATGATATATAGTTACAGTAAAAACGGAGCTGTAAACGTTAAAAAATATTAAGCATATCTCTTTATTGTAGATAATATTGCACAACGAATTCAGCATTTGGAATTCTTTCTGGTTCTCCCTCGGATCGTTTATGCAACAAGGCAGCGACGTGGTACCAAGGTATGCGATAAAATCTATCTGTAAGTTTACGAGCCCTGAAATCCTCCCGTGACTAAATTTGAGAAGCGTTACAACAATGTAGTCTGTCGATGTTGTTGAATTTAAAGCAAACCGGTCAATATTACTCTGCGAAGTCGACGGAGAACTCCTAGATTAAATTCCATGCCTTGAGTTAAATCGTGCGTGCTTGAGATATAGGACAGTTTATTGTGTGTACAAGTAAACGCTGGGTAAGGAGAATGCTTGATAATCACCTTGTTATGTGTACTCAAGCGGAACTTAAGAAATTGTCGAGTTTCACAATTCCATGTTGCTTTTTTACTGTTTAAATTTATGGATCTACTTTTTTCATTCAGAGTATCTTACGAGTACTTTAAATGAGTATAATAATTTTTAAAGTTGTGACACAATATATTTTTACAAAGATTATTTTTAATATATTTACTCCCGGCCGATATTTTGTAAAATAGGTTATTGACTTACGCTGGGTTTCTGAAGTTTCCATTTTTTTATCATTACTTAGCGACTCGTTATTGTTAGGTTGACCAAAATTTCAAGGAAGTAAAACTCAAGTTAAGTAGTTCGGAGAGAAATTTCATAAAGTTACCGAACCAAATTGACTATCGAATGGTTAAATGTAGCTGGGTAACCGGACATTCGGCACATAGGTATTTTGCTGATGTAAATAATTTCACAGGTCCCTATCAGGCAGAATCGTTGGTACAGTATGGTGGTTCTTTGCCCTCATCCTCGTGTGCTCGTACACCGCCAATCTTGCTGCTTATCTTATCGTGGAACGTATTGCGGAACCCACTCAAGCTTTACAATACGCATCGAAAGTCCATACCGAAGTAAGCGACACATACAATTTTAAAACACACAGGTAACCAAATGGTGATGAATTTGCGAAGCGCCTGCTGAAGCGAAATAAATTTTTTATCATCAAGTCTTCATGTTGAAGGGATTTTGTTCACGAAAATATATCAGCAGACATGTTTTTTTTAATGTTATAAAAGGACTGTAGATTTGAAATCGATTGTTTTAAACTAAACTGTAATTTATAAAATTAGTGTGCGTTTTGTGGAGCATCACCCAGTTATTAAAACACCGAAGTATGTTTCAGTTCTACTCTACTGCCAACGAAAATACTATTTTAATGAGAAAAAAAATCTCCACGTGATACGTATTTTTAAATGCAAAACTCTCTTAAATACAATAATAAAAAATACTTAAATCTAAATCTATAGTACATATCGCGTCTAAATCTTATATTTAGATACTAAATGTATGTTCCCAATCAGTGTTATAAATACGAAATTTGTACGTTTGGAAGGATGTTTATTAGAACGCATATAAATATAGAGAAAAGTCAGGGAGAACACATAAGCTGCTTAACAATTTTTAATGACACGCGGTCGTTGTTGCAGACGACAGCTAGTTTAGAAATGTATTAGCTTTCGCCCGCGACTCCGTCAACGTGGAAGTAAAAAAAAAACAAAAGTGAGTAGACTGTATGTTCTTCCAGACTATCCTCTAAATTTCATCGAGATTCGTTCAGCCGTTAAGGCTACAAACTCTAACAAACATCCATCCATCCATCCATCCAACCAACCAACCAACCAACCAACCAACCAACCATCCATCTATCCATCCATCCATCCATCCATCCTTCCATCCATCCATACATCCATCCATCCATCCATCCATCCATCCATCCATCCATCCATCCATCTAAACTTTCGCATTTATATTATTAATATTAGTATGATTAGTATAATTTTATATGTTGTATTGAAGTGTTACAATATTTTCAGAATTATCTATCAACTTTATACACATTAGTGAACGATCCAGTTCTTATTCCAAAGGATGATACTTTCCTTCAACCAAATGACAACGTTAACAGTCAAAATTGTAACACGTTGACTCGTGTATGCCGATATAGACATGTGAATTTTGCCATCGCCATGCCTAAAGGATCACCATTGAGGTAAATATACTTCATTTACTCTATATCAAGCAAATATTAGTATCCGTTAAGAGAATTGCAACAATGAAATGACAAAAAACACAAAGAGGAAAAAGTTGAAATGTATTTTGAATAATTTAAACTTGAAACAATAATTTTCTCTCAGCATTTTATTCCCGTATCGTTGAATAGCTGACATTTCACTGAGAGGAGGAATCAAATAAACCAATAACAGTAGAGAATTTTTCTCGCCTAGCTGTGATGAATGTAATTGTATTGGTTACAATCTACTTCACTTCAATTTGATTTCTGAGGAAGTCTTGAGGGCAAAACTCGTTTCCTACTAGTGTGAAAATGAAGCGTTTCCGAGATAAATTCAATATGTCGATGCAAATAAATTCAATATATGCTTTTAACGCAATATTAAGTATTTCTTTTATATGTCTGTACTAGTATTATAAAAAAAAGATTTGTATTTTGTATGAATAGAAATAACTTAAAAGGTACTGGGCCGATTTTAAAAGTTTTTGCCGTTAAGGTAATTTATCTATGATTAACTTAGGGTATACATTTTTTTGTTTCACGGGGAAGAAGTCGCGCGCAACAGCTAGTAAATAAATAAACTCAACCCATTGTGTTGTTTTCCCAACCGAATCAAGAGGTTAATGTTTTAAAATTGTCAGCAACAACGTGTTTAGTTCCTTAAATGTACTAAGAAAATAGTGTAATTATTTTATTACAGATCAAAAGACTAATATTAAAAGCTTTGGAATTTATAAGATAAGTTGTATTAAAAAGCTTGGCAATAACTTTAAATATTTAATGAAAAGGCTGTGCAAAAAGGTTTCAAATGAATAATTTTTAATCTGTTTTGGACCGAGTTTAGCTAAAAAGTGTGAATAAAACATTGAAACAATCGTAGTTTATTGCGTCCTGCCAGCATTCTTTGTGCTTTGCTCAATGACAATTAAAGCTTTGATCACTCATTCGCAGTATATTACTTGCTATGGCCTACACACGTGCATATTGTACATATTACGTGAAAGCTCTATTCTTTAGAACATTTTCATTCAGTAAAGGCTTTGATTAGTCCATTCCTATTGTGAGACTAGGCGATAAAGGCGACGTTTTGTGTGGTAATTTTTGAATATATTTGACAGTCATATAAGCTTACATTTTATAAACAATATAAATTTTGAACTACGTGCCGTTTTAAATTTAGGTTAGCATTATTTTCCACTTTATAAAAGATGGGAAGTTTTAAATTAAAAATCCAAATAATAAAAAATGTTTTGCTGTACAAGAATATAAAACAATCTAACTTCAAAACGACTATTAAACTAAATAGTTAAAATAAATACTAAAACAAAATCACTTAACCTACAAAGAAGAAAGAAAAAATATTCTAAATACATCTGCTATTAAACTCGTAGAAAAGTGGGTCTTTTGAATGTAATGGGAATAAGAAAAAAATACGACGCAAACACAGGCAGAGCAATCACCGTTTCATTATATGCACCGAGTTAAAATAGCTAAGAGCGGTTCCAGACGTGCATAAAATAGGCTGCCTTGTGTTAGAAGCCAACAAATCACACGACATTCTTTACAAATGCTTTCCGTGAGACAGTTATTTAATAGCTTTTTATACTATTGAAGTCGTACTTTGTTTTTTTTTCTCTTTATATAATAAATTGGGGCAAAAGAGCAGTGTATCGCTTAGTGTGAATTGATCCGACGCCCACGAACATGCTGCATCTTATCTTACAAAACAGTTGTTCAAAGATTTTTTTCGTAATTTACTGTCAGAGTTGAAATTTGCATTATTACGAGTATGTATATTCAAAAACGGGCCTATAACCTAGTGTTGGAACCTGGTGCTCCACCACTTTCCTACATAAATAATTCTTGTAACAAACTTATAAATAAATCTTTAAATATCTTAAGAAGGGTGAAATAATGGATAGATCGGTTAAGATGCGACAACTCTACTTAAAGTGGAATAAGGACATATAAATGAAGATGTCTTTTGATACACAACATTATTTCATCAAGTTTTGTAATAACCCGTATTCTAATTAGTAACCTATTTTAGATCAATCGGTCTCGAAGTCTCGATTCGGATTACGATATTGGATATAGGATCCAATTCCTTAATGCAAATCTGAACAGCCTGTCGTTCCGTCTTATCTAGGTCGTGTCTTACACTGCTGCGTCTTACTTGAACCTTATACGTTTACAGATTGCATTTATAAATACATTTACAGGTGTTAGCTTAAACTCGGTAAAGTTTGAAAGTATTATCGATAGTAAACAACTCAGAAGATTATCGCAATTCCAATAAATTAAAAAAAAAATAAAACCTATAATCATAGAATTAGATTCCCATTGTGGTACGAAATAAAAATTGTATTAGGTATGCGAAATCAATTCATTTTTCATGAAACAATTGAAATCCGATTTCGATATTGAATTGTTTTAAAAAAGCAGTTGATATATTTTATAACAGTTTTTACGAAGCGAAAGCCTCTATGGTTTGTGTTGACATCAAATAACCATTACCATTTTTTAACGTGATCCATAAAAAGGGCACGGGGAGACAGTATTGTATTGGAATTTAGAGAGCCTTTCAAATACGCTACCTATTGCGGATTCCTATAAGAAGTATATAAAATATTTTTCAGCAAGCACTTCCAAACAATAAATTTATATTCTGTAGTTATAATCTACATTAATCTAAGAAGGTATTGTTTTATAACCACTCTTATTCGACAACTGTATCTGAATTCGAAATGAATTTCGGAAAAGCTTATTCGGAATAATGTAACAAAACTGTTTAAACATCAGCACGGTGTAATTTGCGGATAAAAAGCGGAATTACAAACTGTAGCGTAAATTTTGAGTACGCAGGAGAGTACCCACTATCTGGCTGAAATCTCGCCTCTACACGGTAAATCCCTGTTGAATACTGAATAGTCGTAAATTTACATGGGGGGCCCGTCAGTAGGGAAAGTGGATACACTTCGTATTTCGAATTTATACCACCCCATTTTATGGTACTAGATTTGTGGACGTGATTTTAACAACAAGTTAAAAATTTCCATTTTATATGCGCGGATGTCTTTTTATGATTCGAGAATTGTGACGCTGACGAGGGGACTTCACGAAGCGAAATGGAATTCATACGTCTTTGTCAGGTCCTACTCGGAATTTATGAGCACGTGTTTTTATTAGCATCTCGTCTGTAATTTTTACCTTTTCACAATTTTAATTTACCGCATACATTTTTGATATTTTGACAATAGAAGGATGACTGTATTTCTTCGATTATACAGTAATATAACGCATACTAAATTTTCAGAGAAGGTATAAATCTTGCAATTGTAAACATGAAACGGGAGGGAGTTATCACGAAACTGTGGCAGAAATGGATAACCATGAACGACAAACCGGAATGTGAAAATGTTAAAAATGAGGTGCGTATTAGAAATATACCAAACTAATCTAATACAACTTTGTTATACTGATATTTAAAAACCAAAAACAAAGACACGATACTCAAAAATAACACAGAGGCAGAGATTACAGACTTAGCAAACCTCTTCTTTCAATATTTTTTTTTAAATTCGTAATTTTATTCTTTAGGAAAGCGCAGTGACTGAAATGACTCTAAGTCAAGTTGCGGGCATATTCTACGTGCTTGTTGGTGGATTGGCGTTAGCTCTGACTGTAGCATTATTGGAGTTCTGCCAACATGGTCGGGCGGAAGCGGCTCGAGCTAATGTGACTCTCCGCGCTGCGCTAAGAGCCAAGGCAAGGCTAGCGTCTCGATCACAGCATAAGACACCGCCACAACGAACACCGCAGCGAGAACACGATCGTCTGGGATGGAATGGATCTGCATTTGCTGGGGTCAGTAGTTACAATGTACTAAGCATGATTGTTTGCTGAGAGGAATGTGTGGCCTGACATATGAATGTGGGTATCTGACATGTTTAAAAAATATGTTTAATTGTGTGATTTTACACGCTCGCCGACAGATATTGATACAACAGTGATATCAGTATCAGTGATATTGTCGAAAATATTCTTTGTTTTGTTCCAAAACTAGAGTTTCAAAAATAGTAAAACTGTAACGATATTAAAGGGCGAATATGCACAATACCAAAAGAGCCGTTTATACGACACCTCTTCGGTCGTTTAGTCGAATTTGCACATTTGCTAGAAGGCAAAAGCACCTGCATTTTGTATAAACATAGTTTAATGGACATTCGAGATATTTCTGTATACCTGTATGGAATCCTTGTTTCTTTTGTTCTCTTTAAGAAATTTTATTTTAAACTAAACCTTAGTGACACAGTAAGTTAAACAATAAAAGTAAATACTTCCCTTAACCAGATTAAAAGTAACCAACGAGTCACTTAAAAACAAATTAAATCTTAAGAAGGAAAGAATATTTAACATTTTTAAAACGATCATAATTTTCTTGGTTATGTAATAATTCTCTCTTTTCCATATAGTACACTGACTTCCTCCTAGGAAGAGAAATGATGGGAAATGTTCATCGGAAGATTTATTAGAAAATTACTCCTAAGGTGTAAGTTAAACTTTGACACCGTGTTTGACCCTAACGAAATCATTTACATTTGTGATGTCTTCAAACTGTATTGTTGTAGTTATTGACTGTGATGTCTTACCTAATAAACATAACACCTACTCGTATATTGTGCAATAAAGCAAACGATGGTCAAATTTGATTGCTCTTTCCCAATCCATCTTCTAATAAATAAAGGACGAGAAGGGGAAGTCTACTTAGCCAAAGAGGACGTATAGTAAAAGAAAATATCCTCGTTCTTTACGTACCTTTCACTGTCAATTAAAGGTGGCAACGCATTTGCTTACAACTTCTTGCAAATGTTTATAGGTGGTGACAATTCGCTGCTTACCGAGATTTGGCCTCTTGTTCGTTTGCCACGTTCTGTTATAAAACCAAGCCTGATGTATCGTCAATATTTTTTTATGTTTCATGGTAAAATAAATGATGTATCTTAAAGTTTAATAACGTATTTCTTAATTTATTTTCAGTATTTTGCGACTGGCAACCAGATCTCTCAAGAGGAAGCTGTGCATGCCAGTTTCACTCACGTCTGATCCGGGGAGAAGGGTGGCGTACATATACGTCGCTCATCTGTCACCAAAATACAAAATAACGCTGTAGATTTGTATCAATTATAATTGTGTATCTCATTATTTTTATATAATAATTGCGAGTTTCCACTGACGAAACACTCGTACGTTATTGTAATCTCTAAGATTATACGAAAAATATTTATATCCCTATATGAAGATGTTACAAATGTTTCGGCGGCAGTGGAATCTTACAATTAAATGCGTTTTATTTATTTTATTTGATACACAATGATGCATGCTCCGTGCGACGATCGTTTAATTTTAATATGTCATTTTAACATGCCTTTACATTTATATAAATTAATACAACAAAAACAATCTTGAAATTTAGCTTATCCTTTGTAAATGCTTGTATTAATTTATTCATTAATTTTTAACAAATAGCGATATTCCTTATTGCGACGATATTGATCGATGCAAAAATCAAAAAATTTCAAGACAATGTAAACATTTCTGTGTGTCCCTATGAATTTATGTACTTTTACAAAAAATTAAACTTTTTCTTTAAATAATATTTTACATTCATCATTATGTTATATCATATTTATTTAAAACATGAAAAATATTATAAACAATTTAAATCTATTTAAGTTAGCTTATAATCTTTTAAATATAATCTTTATATAAGCGTTTTTCTCCACTTCTAAATTTCAGTAGTTAAGTTAAAATTTAAAATAGATTAGTATTATTATAATCATTAATGTAAGTTGTCTTCCGAAACGCTGTTGGAATTGAAGCAATAACAAGATCTAATAGATTTTCATATAACAGAGAAGAATATAATTTTATTATCTAAGTAAAAATAAGTCTATATGCTTGAATGTTATTTAAAATCATTGTTATAGAAAAGAAGGCTTGTGGAGAGCTGTATTTATAATATATAAATTATTTATTATCATATTCAACTATATGCTTATTATTAAAACACACTTACCTATTTACGGTTTTTTGCCACGCGGAGGAAAATGCAATTAAACTCTTTTTAATTATCTTTTAACATCTAGTTTCTTTAGTAGATGTTACATAGGCTGCGCCTAGTGCGATGGTACTGACCACAACATATAAAAATTCTACTGTTTCCATAAACTACATTTTTCTACCTCCATGTATTCATGATTGTTGGATTTTTTTAATAAATCTAGTTTATCTACTTATTAGCGTTTCTTAGAAATAGAATAGAAGACCAATTCTATCAAATCTTATGTTAAAATTTGGAATAACTACGGAGACCGTAATTGTTTTGCCGCGCGGTGAAAAATCTTAAATAGATGCCTTACATTTAAAATATAGCTTTATTGCTGACAGATATACTGAATTCTGGTGCCTGACATTATAATCCATTTATACATTTTTAATATTAAGAGATTTAAATTTAACGTATATTCCTGTAAGTTTACTAGACTTATGAAGAGATGGATGGATTGCGTGAAAGGTGACATGATCAAGAAGGGAGTGATGACTGACTACGAACGATAGTTGGTTGGAGGAGGAGATCCCGGCGCATCGACATTACGGGACATAGGATAAGATAAGGGAGATGATTAAAGTAGTATATTAAAAGTCTATACGTGTGTGTAACATAACATTAGAAATAATTAGTTCGTTATAAAAATCCCTTTCTATCTTATCGCTATTTTACTCTTTTTAAATTATTCTATTTCATCTTAAGATAAATATTTTAATTTTGTATCTATGAATTAACTCTTTCTTATAGAACAAAGTGTTTTCTCGATAAATTTGCACGGACTATTTAAATTAGCATAATATTACTTAGTTTCTATGATCTCTTTGTAACATACCTTCTCTCTATCTAATATCTCTGCCACGTCTTATAGTATTTTGGATTTTTGCGTCAAAATATGTTTTCTAGGTTAAGTTTTTTTTACAATTGTTAAGCAAGCGCTTGACCACTATCCTTATGTAAAGTGATGTGGTCTAAAGATGGTACGCACAAGCTTAATAATTATTGAAGCTTGTATTCATTCGTAGTTTCTATTTCAATGTAATGTAATATTTTAATAATAAAAGTATTTAAAACGTTTTCTTAAAACCTAATATATGACTCGCAACTTTTTAATGTTAAATTTTTAGAATTAGATTTCCTCGTATAGTATATAAAAATCACATTTACATAAGAATCTATTACATTTATTAATTATTATAAGGTTTACAAGTAAGAATAATAAACAAATGAAAATTAAGTACAATTAAAGGAATGCTCCAATACACAAACTAATCAAATCACTTACGGTAATTTTATAAGGTAATTTAACCAATTTATAATTATGAGAGGATATTAAAAATAATATTTTAAATAATTGATTATATGCCATGTTTAAAGAAGTTAACTCATATTTAAGCTTACAGTCACGTGTCTACAAAATAAATAAATTCGTAGTTAATCGCTAGTGTAGAACAAAAATAGATTAAGATGAAACAAAAAATAATTAAGAAATGTTAAATTTAAGTGTTAAAAGTAAAAAAAAAATAAAAATTACCATTATATAGTTTACATAAGCCTGTTACAGTTTTATTATTAAAAGTACTTCCTTTTACTTAATAGCACAGAGCAGATAAAACCGTATAGGGACAAAGCTTTAGAGCGGGCGCACAACTTTGTCCAAACTGTCGTACAACTGCTGTGCGATTGTTGATTGTTTTGCAGCAAATTCAACTGCACACATCCATATAAGCATATAGGAATCAAAGCGAGACTAAACAGTTTTACAATAGTTTAGTTTCAGGCGTGCGCACGCTCTTATACCGGTCGATCATCAGCTACGTCGGTGTGAACCGGTTTTTCCCAGTATCTCGGGATTAGACACATATGCCGTATATGTGTGCGTCACTCATGTGGTAAAGGGATTTGTTTATTTGTACTCAGCTTTAACCGTAAGTATTCACTGCCGAAATATTCGTACAATATAATTCTTATCTCTCTTTATTTCTCTGTAAATTAACAGAGATAACAATATTTTTGTACGGATGTTTTAGCTGTCGGTAAAATATGCAAATGCATTTTTGAATCAGTAATGATTGATAGATGATAGTTGTAAGAAAGTTAGTAAATATTATAATAGTAATAAGAATAGAATTAGATTACCAGTACGAAGTTCTGATAAAAAAATAATCACAAAAAGTGCCAAATGTTTGCCTTAAAATGCCATGTAATAGATACGATAGTCAATCAATAGCTTTGACAAAAGTTCCTTGTTAAAATAAAAATTGTTCAATTTGAAATATTTTTATTACATTTGTACGAAAACAGAACATTTAAAAATAACGTTTTATTATAATTGTAGTAACACATGTTATTAGTGATTTTTATAATACGTGTTAATTAGAACGGGTTTCTGTAGCCGAAATACTTGTGCAAAACATTGTTGCCATCTTTCATTATGTTTGAAAATAAAATTGTCACTGGAATCCCATAGTACTCGTACTTCGTAGATATTATGTTTTTACTTGTATACTTATTTTTAACATTAATAATTATTATTTGCAATAAGTATGAAAGTAATTACTTATTATAAATCCGATGCATTTAATTTGTACCTCTCTTAATTGTTTCTATATTTTGTCAATTTTTTGTATGGAACTTCCATTTGAATATAAAAATTCAATGTACAATATTGCCAGTTGTTTATTGCCATTAGATAATTATTCTATAAATTTTACATTTTTAAAACTTATTACTAGCACGTTCTTATCTTCTTAAACTTATAATAAATTTTTGCTAATCCTAGCACATCCAATTATTGTTTTATTTCTACTAAACAACAAAGAAAGATACAATGTATTATGTGATACTCTGAAGAAAAGACTAAGACTTGAATGACACTATACTATGTAAAATTGACCCAGAGACAGGCTCTAGACAAGTCATAACGGAATTTAATACCTACAAATCTTCATACAACAAACCTATACGTCGAAAAACTTTACCCTCTTTATCAGTAGTATAAAAAAAAAGTTGAAAGAATTTTAGCTGAACACTTAAATTGTAGTAACAATTTCAATGTACTAAGTGAATTTGCCTCAAAGACGACACAGTGATCTCTAGGATAAGATTAAAATAAACAAATCATCATCTACCAATGCCACTGAAATCAGGATAATGTAAAAAATTTAACTCTGAAATGTTTTTCCATATAAGATCAAAAATATTTTTTCTTGATTTTGACTCTAAGCCTATCTGGTCTATTTTTAACATATTTATAAAAATTAAATTAGCGCCATCTTTCGACTCTACGAATAAGCATTACAACTTACATGAAGTAACAGGCTTTCGAACAACAAGAGAGGTTTTTAAACTTTAGATAAATTTTTAATAACTACATGACATTATTATTTTTATATAAGATAGTAAAAATATTTATAATAATATGTATAAGTCATAACATGGTACATTTTCAGGTATTTCTCCGTTATAATAACTCCATCTATGTAACATAATGGAAACTTACAATATTATACCAACACATTAAATCGTAACTTTGTAACCTATGTTTTCTTTTTTTATGAGATAGATGGAGTTACCATGTCGATGGAGAGGATGTGAAATACAAACATGACTTTTAAACAGCTTGGGAAAGCGCAGCATCTATCTGAAGAGTTGTCATATAAACAAGTGATATTATAAAATTGAATATTTGACAAAAATATAATTTAACTTCTCAAATACTACTACTGTAATCATACTGATTTTATTAGTTATTAAGTAATAACCGATATGATCTTAAACCTTAATCTTAGAGCCTTCTTAATTTAATCTTAGCCTAGATCTTAAACTAGTAGTCTCTTTTTAATTTAATTCAATTACTTTATTCGAAAATCGGAAGTGTATTGTAAATTACATAAAACTTTAGCGTAGCGGTTTGTCGTAAAAAAATAGTTTACATAAATATACTAAAAACTAAAATGATTATTCAATTTAATACCATGAAATTCAATTATGAGCTTAAATAAATTTAGTGTGAAAA